AAAACGTGCGCGAGTTTGGCGGGGGGGGCCACAGAGCAACTCCCGTTTGCGCTCTGGTAATTGCGCCTCAGTAACCAAGTGATCACCTTGGGCATCTCGGTCAACTAACGCTGGTCTCCATCGCAGCCTGCTGACCCGATTTTTTGTTGCTTTCCAAGATTACTGTGCGTCCAGGTCCAGCAAATTCCGCTTTTCAAATCATGGAGGCAGAACAGATTATGGAGGGACAGCCACAGGTATTGCAAGAAATGTTTTCTGTGCATCATGCTACGTGTGTAAAGGGAGCGTTTCCGTTTTGCTGACCATGTGTTATTTTACAGGTTCCAGAAAATCCCCATTCTGAATACGGTCTCACTGAAAATGTGGAGGTAACAAAGATTTTCTTGCTGTAAAGTACAGTGGAAGTCACATTCCTAATCAGGGGGGAAAATGTTGAGTCTTGAGTGTAACTTGAGACCCAGGGAGCTGGGTCTCTTTAGCTTGGAGAAGAGGAGACTGAGGGGAGACCTCATTAATGTTTATAAATATGTTAAGGGCAAATGTCAGGAGGATGGAGCCAGGCTCTTCTCAGTGATGTCCAATGGTAGGACAAGGGGCAATGGGTGTAAGCTGGAACACAGGTGTTTCCAATTAAACTTGAGAAGAAACTTCTTTACAGTGAGGGTGACAGAGCCCTGGAACAGGCTGCCCAGGGAGGTTGTGGAGTCTCCTTCTCTGGAGACATTCAAGACCCACCTGGACACCTTCCTGTGTGATCTCATTTAGGTTCCTGCTTTGGCAGGGGGATTGGACTAGATGATCTTTCGAGGTCCCTTCCAATCCCTGACATTCTGTGAACATTCTGTGATTCTGTATCAATAGATCCGTCCAACATTCTGTGATTCTGTGATTCTGTATCAATAGATCCATGTACGTTGCCTTGCATGTGTTGGGTTGCTGACAGTGGCAGGGTGTCCTTTTTTAACTGTGGTTAATGGTGTAAGATGGTTTAGCACTTTTTGACCAAAAAGCACCTGGAAGCCTTTTCTTTTTCTTTCTTTGTCAGACTTCACCTGAATTTCTAGTGCTTTTAGCATTTTGTGTTAGCAGTGCATGCACACAGGAACCATTTAATTAGGACCCCTCTTGTTAGCAGTCATTCCTGTCTCAATGATGTAGAATCTGAATCTGAATGCAAAAGCAGAAATAACAGTGATAGAGACTGAGCATCTTCTGTTTTGGAAGATATGACATCCTAACATTGTTCCTCAAAACATAGGAATTTAACAGAAGAGTCCTCTGGATTAGATTTTTGTGCAAGGAAAAATACATGCTTGAATTTTCTTACAAGATATAAAGAAGGTATTGCCAGTGAATTGCAGAGAAACGGGTACTTTGTTTGCACTTACACTTCAAAGTAGATGTGGCTGCTATTACCAATGTTAATTCACTTTTTTTTTTTTCTACTTCAGAGGATAGTAGAAAATGAGAAAATAAATGCAGAGAAAACATCAAAGCAGAAGGTGGATCTTCAGTCATTACCCACACGTGCCTACTTGGATCAGACAGTTGTACCTATCTTGCTACAGGGACTTGCTGTTCTTGCAAAAGAGAGGTAAGATGCTTCAATATTCCTTCTGTTCTTAGAAAAAAAGTAGGTCTCAGACTTGGGTACTGTGTCACCTTTTCAGCTGCTTTGCTAGTTGTAAGAAAGTAATTGCACCAGGTTTATGAACTCATGAATTACCATGATGGACCGTGCAGGACGTGTTCCTCGCTTAGGTGAATATGTCATGTTAAGAGTTTTTTACTGACTTTGTGATCTCCCAGTGAGGTGTGCTACTGCAAAGGTTTTGGAGGGAAACATGTATTTCTTACTAATTTTATCACATAATTCACCTTATAGAAGCAAAGCAAGAAGTTGTTCTAGTTTTGAACAAGATTTTTCATAGTGTGGAATTTATAAAGAGTTCTGCTTGCCATTTAAAAGAAAGACAGACAAATTGGGCCTGACATGCATCTTTGTCGGAGACTAAAACACTTTCTAAAGGATGAGGCTGACCCTGCACTGTCAACACAGTGAGAAGCAAACTGATAGTTTATGCTTTCAGTGAAGATTTTGCTGTCAAGGTGCCCTGACTCTCTTATCAGTCAGTATAGGAGGGTATTCTTCAATAACAGTAAATAGTTGTTCATCTTATCTAAATTAATTTCTAGCCTTTTGGTGCAGCTGAACTATTGTTGAGTCATACTGCATGTACACTGTTTCTCAATTTTGCTGAAATAACACTATCAGAAGCTGGTATGGATGACCATAATCATATCACGATACTTAGAGCCAGAGAAACCATCAACAGTGTCTTAACAGGAGTTGTGAATTTCAACTGCATTGTACAGACAGCTAATGAGGGAAGAGAGCACCTAGGAAGGTACACCCCGTGTGTACACCTGCACAGTGTGCAGATCTGCAGTTGACATCTGTGGGAGTTTTGCTGCAGAGTGACTGTAAAACACGGGCTGAGGTGGATACCCCACACCTACAGTCTGGATACTTGTGTTACAGACAAACCTTTCTTCTTTCCTTTTTTTTAAAAGAAATCTTTCTTCACTATGGAAGGAGCTGTTCTTTATGGAGACTAATCCCCATAGGACTTCTAACACTGGAACATTGATAGAAGAGGTTGGGGAACATAGAGTAGAAAAACTAAGAGTATCAAACTGCCAAGGTCAGTCAAATTGGCTGTTTAGCTGACCATATTAAAACCTCAGGGGTGACAAAGTTGAACTACCAGCTCTGCTTTATAATCTTCTGCTTAAAATTGAACTGGAAAGTGACTAATAGATGCTAATTTCTTTTTCTAAGGAATATAGAGATGTTCAGGGAACAGCCCAATACGTCTGATGACTATACCTGGAATTCAGTAAAAATTATCATCCAGAATAGTGATCACATGGATAAATGACATATTTGGGAGAAGTCAACACAACTTTTGTCAGGCTCAGAAGTCTCTTGGAGTTCACTGAAGGAGTCACTGAGCACACATTAACACAAATCCAGATGATACAGGCTGCTTAGATTTCCAAAAGGCTTCTGGCACAATCTTTCACTAAAGGCTTTTAAAAAGAGTAGCTGTGGGATTAAAGGAAAAGCCTTTATATGGACAAAGAACTGGTTGGAAGATATGAGAGAGAGGATATAAGTAAATGGTGAATTTTCATGGTGAAATGAGGTCAACACTAGAATCCTAGAAAGAATAATTTGTAACTATTTGAAAAAGTCACTGACAGAATTTGCTAATGATACTGTGCTTCACTGAACAGGTTGGGGTTTTTTTGTCTTTTGTTTTCTGTTTTGTTTTGTTTTTTAAGTCAATCAATTTCAAATAATCGCACAGGAACTTCATACATTTGATGTGAAACTACAGAAGACTGCTATGAGAAATTTAATCTACCAAAAAAAAAAAAATACAAATAAACAGAAAATTATGCACCTACGAGGGTAATAAATACTATAATGCTAATGACAAGATGATAGATTCTGAGTTGACAATTACCGTTGTGAAAAATATCTTTAAACTGTTAAATGTGTGTATCAGTGCATTGCTCAATCCAAAATAAATTCTGAATGGTAGGACTTAGAAATTGAAGGGTTAAAAACAAGCATAATGTCACTATATTAAATTTATAGTCTCCTTGTATTTTGAGTATTGTGTCTAATTCCAATTCCCCTGCATTCTGGCAGAATGTGAAAAAGTAAGAGTGACAAGGTGGTCAGAAGCATGGAATGCTGTCTGTAAGGGCAGTGACTGAATAGATGTTACTTCAACCTGGAAAAGAGATTTCTGAGAGAGAATATACTAGGAATATGTTAAATCATTAATAGCATGGAGATGCTATATTGGGATGGATTGTTTATTCTGACATGGTAATCAAATTAAGCTAGGAGGTAGCAAATTCATAATGAACAAAAGGTGACCTTCACAGGTTGCATAATTAAGCTATATAACTTGCATCAGGTTGAGGACATTAACATTTTATTTGGGCTCAAGGGGCAACTGGTCAAAGTCGTAGAGGAATCCACTCAGGACTATTAAAGGTGCTAGCTCAGGAAGCTGGTTAATTGTACGTGCTTGGAGGCAAAAAAGATGGTCCAGAGAATAGCTCTGCACACTTCTTCCATACTTCATGATCTTTACAGGCATATTTGCCCACTACCAGGACCTTTGGTCTGACCCAACATGGAATAAGTTAGCATGCCATTTATTCTGCAGAGAGAACCCAGATCAGCAGGATTCATGCACTGTAGCTGAAGGAGTTTTTAAGACAAAAACTTACAGACTAAGGCCAGCAGTCAAAAGTGCGTATTATTGACTACTTGCAAGTTCCAGCACTTCTCAAACTTGGGGGTTTTGTTGTGTTCATTTAAAAGAAACAGCAGTTACCAGAAACCATGAGAACAGCTCTAATGCAGAAGCTAGACAATAACCATCTCAGGAAAATGAAGCAAGAAAGCACTGACAGATTAACTTTTACTTTATATAGCATGAGTTAAAGAAATAGGCAAATGCACGTAACTCCCAATGATGTATGTACAGTATTTATGTTTACAGAGTATATCCTGGTTCTAGGTATGGAACTGTTTTAGCAATTTAGTAACGTTGAACCAAGTGACTAAGACTCATTAAAAACTTACTCATGAGACATAAACTGTAAATTTACAAGATAATTGTAGGTAGTTGGTCATCCCTACATCAATGCTCCCAAGTGTTTGGGAGGAGTTACGTTGCTTTTCAGGGAAGGTGATTAGTTCTTCAGCCACCTAATTTCATATGACAAAAAATAATTGCTTTTGATTTACATTTTTCTTTACAGACCGCCAAATCCCATTGAATTTCTAGCAGCATATCTTTTAAAAAACAAGTCACAATTTGAGGACCGAAATTAACTCCATAAAAATGAGGACAGTTTCGCTGCTAGACTGAAATGCTCATTTGCCGCAATTTGTTTTCTGCTGTAAAAATCCTTTGGAACCATGATGTTGTCTTTTTTAATCGCACAATTTGCTTTACCTTTTGAGTTATTTAATAAAGAACACTTTTCATTTGTTCACTTGTTTTAAACTAGCTATTAAGAGACTTTCAAAATAAAGTACTGAAACTGCACTACTGATTATGAAAATCTGAATAATTCTGTGGGGCTACATCACCTGAATGCATGACACAAAGGGGAATAATTTATTACGTGAATTGCATGAGTTATAATGTTGATTTTATACATCACCCTTCATGTGCAAGGTACCTAAACAGAAAGCAAACACATTAAGAGCAGTTAGAATTTAATTTGAGGATGGATTGATTAAGTAGAGAGGGGGGATCTTGCTTCAGAACACCAGGAAAGGGTTTAGTTAAAACAGACAATGAGGTTCATCAGCTGAACAGATCACCTGCAGAGTGTGTCCAACATTTCAAGTATTTCCATGAATGAGGTGTGCTGTGCAGCATTTGTCATTGATCTCCTGTGACTGGTGTGCTGGGTTCAACTGAAACACAGAATAGTTTGAAGGGATTTAAAAAGGTTCTGTAATTCAGGTCTCTGTACTGCTGCCCCCTAGTTGGAGCGTTCTTTGTCAAAGATAATCCTAATCTACCCAGTAAAATCCTGAGTCTTCTTATTCCTCCCCCCCTTAGGTTTACTCATACCTCTTTTTGTTATTTCTATTCTTGACATCTTTGTCTGACCCCTTCTTGTTTGGTGTTTCCCATAGTCTCCTCAGTAGGGGTAAAGGCCACAGACCTCAGAGTACAATATAAGAAGCTGCAGCAGAAGACTGGGGATCAGAGGAGAAAAATAGAATAAAGACAGTAAACAACATGTTGGGAAAAAATGTGAGCAAAGCTCTGAAAATATGAATATTGTAACCAGAGAACTGGCTCACTAGGTTATTGTTAATGTGTACAGGGACACAGCCCTTAGAATTCCTATTTTTGTTTTCTGAAACTTGTAACAAGGAGCATGATCAGTGTTGTTCACTAGCACCGGACACTGGAATCAGATTAAGCAGAGCTCAGTTTTTAATAGACTGGGAAAATGACCATGATTTGTTTGCCAGTCACAGAAATTGTGAACTTGGCTTCCAAGAGTTGCTCAATTAATCCAAATCCTAAATTTTTATTCAAATAAACTTCAGTATTGCCATCTTACCATTTCCATCTCCGTTCTATGTTTCTTATTTAAATGCTTTAACATAGCAAGTAGTTAAAGCCTTGTAAATTAAATTACAAGGGTTGGAGTTTTTTTCTGTGTGAGATTAAAGGCTGCATTATTTTTTTTTTTGTAATTAAGCATAAATTCATAAAAAGAGAGTTAGGACTCTCATTTGGCTTGTTCCTGTGATGACTTAAGGATATACACTGTATTTGCAGTATAGTCAAGTGGCCCACTGCACAAATAATATTCTCCCTTAGTTCTCTTGACATCTAGATGACTTTCCTATGGTGATCTGAAGATGCATTGGTTTTAATGTAGCATTACTTCTTTAATAGCTTAGATATGTGGGTGCAAGAGTGGCCAAAAAATAGATCCTTCAGAGGAAAAACTTTTAATTGTCTGCCAGCTTGCAGGGGCTGGAGTGAGATCTGGCTGTCAATCCTAGTAGGAAGGCTTTCAGTATTTTATGTATGTCTTCATACGCCAAGAGGGAACCAATGAATTAGTGTAGTCCAAAAGCAGTAAGACTGGGGAACAAAAAAAAAATGGAAAGAAACCTGCAAGCCCAAAACGCTCTATTTTGGAAAACATACAGAAATTTTGGAATGAGATTACTAATTTTATTGTGTTGTCGTGAACACAGTCTCCATCAAACACTGACACTTAAAAAAAACACTGAAAGGATTTTAACAACAGTGTTTTGACTTTCTAGAATTAATAATAATATTTAAGTGAAGACAAAGAGGCACCATAAAGACTGCTATTTTTATTGCTAAAGCAGCATTCCAAGGTTTCATCCATAGGTGACAAGATTTTAAGAACTGTTACACATGGAAAAAAAAAAATCTATGTTGATCCCCAATTTCTGTGTTGAGAATTTGTGCAAGACCATACAAAAAGAAGCAGCTCGACTACTAATCTTCCCTAGACAGAGCAATTTTCCTGTAATATATTGCCATGCTTAAATTCAGAATACAGTCAGATTTCTCATCCTACATTAACACCCTCCAAGCAGCTGCACAAAAGCTTGTAGTAAACATGTTGGCTTTCTGCACAGCCCTTGCATCAGCCTAGAATCTCAAAAGCATGAGTACCAGTCTTAGGGTGAGCTGTCCCTGCCAGCAGCGTGCCACCCACTCAGCTGTTGGAGCCGCTGTTTAGTACACGGTATCACCCGCTGCTGTCTTCCCATCTAGGCTAGTTCAGGAGAATGAAAAAGCCATGGTTGCAAGGTGATGATGTTAGAAGATTTACTAAAGGCAGCTTTTCTGGGCAGCTTCCCCCAAGAAAATAAGTTGAAATGTTACTAGCAGCAGTGAACTCACCAGCTCTGAGAAATAAATTTTAGTGATTCTTGCCAGGGTATGACAAGTCAAGGAGAAAAGTGCAACCATATTCCTTGTTAAATTGGCTTCACCAATTAGGATCTGCTGCATAGAGAATACCCTGTAATGGGAAGGATAGCAAATTGCTACCTGAATAATCCAGTTCTCAAAGTTGTTAGGGAAGAAATGGTAAAGTCCATTTTTTCAAAGCATTTACTTGTTTTAAACACTCCCTGCTACAAAACAATGACAATTCTGTGAAGAGACTTGACAGATGCTTGCTATCCCAATTTAATCCATAAAGAAAGAAGTACTGTTATTCCACAGGAAACACCACTCCTGAGGGCTTCAAGATAAATGTATTTAATTTTGAAGGACAAATGAAAAAACAAGTGATTTTACATTTATAAAAACGAGGTACTCATCAATAAAATGGAGAATAAATTTAAGGGGCTGCAAATTATTAATAGATGTAGAATAAAAGCTTGAAGAAATAAATTAAACCAGCAACATTAGATGCACAACAGACCACTGCTAACTAGCTGAAAGCCATTTTCTCTTGATTATTCAACAAATCTTTTTCCGTTTTCTGAAAGCCAGTAAAATTAAGCAGAAAATAAAACTGAATACCTGGTTTAACACCACAGCATGCCTTCCAAGATGACTATTTTAGATACAATATCCAGAAGTTACTATTCAGGAACTGTGAAAGAATTATATCTGACTCATGCAGTATTTTGAAGTCTGCCTTTTAAAATGCTTCCAGCAAGAACATTATCTTTTACCTTGAAGGGGACAGTGGCAGAAGAAAGGATTTCCTATTAAAGGTAATTCTGATCAAAGGGTTCTACATCCTCATATTCTGAAGCCTGTTACCACCTAAAAATACAGTTTGACTTGGCAAATCTTTTTCTTTGCATCTCCAGTTTATCAAGGACTTTCTCCAGAGTCAGTACAGGTCTCCAAGTTACCCATTTTATTTTTTGAAGTGTTGTCACTATTGTGAATGCAGTCTGATCAAAAGAACTTCTCTCTCTCCCCAGCAGATGTTCTAGAAATAAAAAAAGCTGCTTTCAAACAAATGAAAAATATGAAAATTCTGAAATATACCAGCAGTTGAAACCAGTAGGTTGGAAAGGAAACACAAGAAGAATCACTGTGCCTACCAAGCTGGATAGAATACAGGTTTTGATTTATTCTTATCATTGTACTAATTACATAACAAATTATTCTTAGCCAAGCCTTAGCTTGTGTTCCCTATTCTACTTCATACTCAGAATTCATTTTAAGAGTAACTACATAGCCTAGGTCACAGAAGTACAGAATGCCAGCTCTCACAGAAAGAGGCGTTTCACCACGATGAAAAAACGTATCCGCACTGCTTCTACTGATGTCCACTGTTCACGTACAGCTTTCAGGGAGGACTTGAAATGTAAATGCCGTGTGAGTAACTACGGGGCAGTTTACAGCACTGCTAGTGCAACACTGACTAGGAATGTGCCGTATTCCTCTTCCCAACATGCTTTTCTCTCTCAGAGTTTGTTTTGCAATTGTGCATAACAAACCAGTTTTCTGAGAGGAGCCTAAATTGATAAAAGGCTGCTGGATGGTTCAGAAGTATCTCCTGGAGAGCATATGGCCTTCCTTTTCCTCTGGTCTACACTGAGGTATTTACAAGATGGATAATTACCCACTGATATTATCTCAGATGCTATTATACAGGAAGTGGAGATACTTCCCTTGTAAGGAGTATGAAGTTTGGGGGCGGGGTGGTGGTGGCTGCTTTTAACAGTAGAAGGAAGGACTGCTAGGAACAGCAGGTTCCTCAGATGGAGAATGACAGCTTGTAAAGAGAAAAACCTACATTAACAGTGGCAGTGAACAGCTTCCTGAGAAGGGAGGAGACAGGAAATGGACCATGTGAAAAGCATGATAAGAAAGAAGGCAAAGTAAACCACGTGCAAGAGGACAGCAAGAGCAAAAAACAAGAAAGCAACTGACCTTGGCAGCTGGGCCAGCTGAAGACTTGTGCCACCCAAGCTGGGCACAGGATGTTACTCAAGGAAAATTGCATGCTAAGGGCACGTGAACTGGCAAGTCAGTCTTGCCACAATCTGGCTTCATGCTTTTCTTCCAGGTAAGGAAAGAACTGCCAACAGACATACATGCGTAGCAGTGGTCTGTGCTTCAAGGCTATGCTGACCTGGGGGATCGGTCCATGCACTGTGTCAACCCTCCCCTGCACCTCAGGGAAATAGCTCTGAACAGCTAAAGTGCTCCTGTTACTTCTCCCTGCACAAACAGTGTTCAGAATTACAGACAAAGCAGGAGGATCTCCCAACCCCACCCATGCCTCGCACCGTGCTCCGAAAGCTGAGCCCAGTTTCTCAGCCTGTACCTAGAACACTGCCAGACCTCCATGTCCTCAGCACCAGGAATCCCAGCACTGGCATCTTCTGTTTACTGAAGAGCTGCCTGCATTTCTATTTCTGCCTCTTTGATTTATGTTATGTGGTACCGAGAGAGCACGTCAGCAGCCCTTAAACAAAGAAACAATGCATGATCAAGAGCTCGTAGAAGTTTAAAAAGAGGAGCCCACAAATCACTAAGCACTGCTCAGTAGTATTATC